TATGTTTATATATATATGTATGTATATATGTATGTTTATATGTATATGTATGTATATATGTATGTTTATATGTATATGTATGTATATATGTATATATATATATATGTGTATATATGTATATATATGTATATATGTGTATATATATGTATATATATGTATGTATGTGTATATATATGTATATATATGTATGTATGTGTGTATATATATATATATATATATATATACATACAATGTGTGTCTGTGTATATGCTATAACATCCTTTGTCTTTGCTCAGAATGATCTTTCTTTCTTTTAGATTTTTCATTATTCTATAGACTGTTCTGTTTGCTACACCACAATAAAGTCATCAAAATTAATAGTTTAACTAACCTTTCTCTCAATATAAATTTCTACTTTCTTCTTTCGTTTTTTTGAGTCTGTTGTTTCCTTGACAACCTTGCCCCAGATGCTGCAATCACCATGGGGATGGTGCTTCTCAATGAAGCTGCCACCTCCAAGGGAGATGTTGGCAAGAGAAGAAGTAAGTTGACAAAGTGTGTGTGTGCGCGCGTGTATGCATATGTGTCTGTATAACTGAAACTAAATACATTGGAGCTGTGGCATACTTGCGTCCCTTATATTGAATATATTTCAGGTATCACTAATAAACTTGAAAAGTTAATTTTCTGTGGCTTTATAGAAAAAAACTCATTCATGCAAAATATGTTCTTAATCTACATGAATATCACATAAACAGAAACTAATGGAAATGCTAATGGTATCCAGCTGGATCTGTCTATTGTCTTTGCAATTAACAATGGGTGGAAAAAAAAAATACTGATAATTACTGAATTTACTCTCGCAGTCTGTCTGGAATTAACATCTGATTTACTAAGCAGCAAGTAATTATGCAGCCACCAACTATGCAATTTGCAAGTAAAGAAGTTTAATGCCACAGTTCAGTTATGACCTGAAAGTTAAAGTATTAACTTGAGAACTGTTAAAAGTAGTGTTGTGGGAAACATTTTACTGAAATTATTGGTATTCAATTAAAGTTAAATTAATGTACGTAAAATGCTAAATAGATGTCACATAATAACGCTCAGAATAAATTAAAAATACACATTCCCCCAGCAATATAACACAACTATTAAGAGCATAGGTTATACCAGAGCAGGATCAATAAAATTTCTGTTCAACTGTATTTATATGATGCAACTTCAAAACAACAGTCACTTCAAGGTAAAAGAATGCAATATTAGTTTGAGAAGCCCAACAAGTAGACTTTTTTACAAGCAGGTACTCGGTAACAGTGGGAAGGAAGAAGTCCCTTTTAACACAAAGACATAGTAGAACCAGACCCAGGGTTGGACAGCCATCTGCTGTAACCACCTGGGTGGTGAAGTTTAGACAAAAAAAAAAAAAGAAAAAAACGTAGGGCAAAGACACTAGGACAAAGCTATGAGATAAAAAAAAATAAAGATGATGTCATACCTGATTCTGGATATATATACACACACACACACATATGTCAGTTGTCCTGGAGATGGTTCCTGCTTCTCAATGGTCCTCTTGAAGCCTTCTCTCCCAGTCATGGTCTGCATCTGCACCTCAAGTCTCTCCTTCCATATCCCTCATGTCACGGT